CAGCCATGCTCATTCATTTAAGTACTGCCCATAACTGCTTTTGTGCTAGAGTGGCGGAGTTAAGTAGCTGTGACAGAGCCTGATGGTCTGCAAAGCCTAAAATATTTAGTATCAGGTGTTTTCCAGGGATAACTCTGCCAACCCCTGAGTTAGACAACCCAAACGTTAGCCTGTTAGCTTATAAAAACACTGAGAATTAGTAGAGACTCCCATAGTTGTTCTCATACCTCGGTGAGCATTGGCATCTTCTGGAAGGCTTGTTGAAGTGCGGGATGCCTGGCCTCTTCCCTCAAGTGTCTGGTTGGGTCCAGGGTGGGGTCTGAGCATCTACATCTGAACAAGCTCCTGGGTGGCCTTGGTACCATTGGTCTAGGGACCACACTTTGAGAAGCACTGGAGGAGTAGAAATAGGAATAAAAAGAGACCCTTAAATTTCTTTTCCTGGTTCTGTTGTGACTCTCCAGCTGGATGATCTTGAGTAAGGATCTAATTTCCTCATGTGTAAAGTTAGGAGACCAGCCTAACGTAGACCTTCCCAACTAAGGTCCCAAGATACAGATTCCCCTGCTCTCTAACCTTGCGGAGGTGGGGTGGGACCTTGCGTCAGGAGCCTCCTGCCCTAAGCAACCTCCTTCATTTACCCAGAACACTGCACAAATATTGTCATTTTCTACATGTACTGTGACGCATAAAACACGGAGAAGGGTTGGAACAGAGGATTTTTAAGGGCTTTTTAGCTCTGAAATATTATGGGTTTAGATGTTTTGGTTGATAAGCACCCCCATCTCAAATATATGTTGATCAATGTCCACTGGATTCAGCTGTTAGTGCACACCATGCATGTGTGGTGCTTGTGTTTCTTCCTTATAAATCAGATTCTAGAGATGCTTTCCTACTTAGTTGCTTACTTTTTCTCAGACTGAGATCAGATGTCTGACAGCCTATTCTAAAGCCCACGGAATTGATGTTCATTCAGTCATTCGATACTTTTTGGCACTTGTTCCGTGCTGGGGGGCTGCCTGGGGTTTATTCTTTCTGCTCTTCAATAATACCATGCATATTCTCCAATGGCCACGCGGCTAGAGAGCGAGGCTGTGTTATCTTCCCACCACTTCTTCCTCTTGTCTCCTCCAGCGGAGAGAAAAACCAGAGACAGCTGTAAAGAGACAAGAAATCTTTTTTTCCCATCTAAAGAGTTCTCCCTGGCAGGTTGTAACTTTATAAATGTCGACTGAATGAATGAATAAACATATGGCCTGGTGTGGTGTCTACACAGCAATAAATGGTCCAGCCCCACTGCTTAACTGCTGTCTATAATGCGGGCGTTCTCTCTTTCTATATATGTGTTTGTGTGCGAATGTGTGTCTGTATATATGTATACGTACATACATACACATGCATACACGAATAAATATTTTGTTAAAGTCACTGCTGTGCCGAATCTGCTTCATAATTATTTCCGTGCCCTTCCGTATGTATTGAGTACCTACTAAGCTCAAGTTTTTGTAAGATGTTGTACAAAGAAAAGCTAGACATGGCTGTTATTTTCAGTAAGCTTACTATTCGCTCCATAATTCTTTGGAAAACTAGCTGAGAGAGAAGGTGGGCAAAAATGCTTTGCTGAGAAATCATCTTTTGTTGTAGGGATTGGTTGATAGTCTTCTGTCTAGTGCCTCCAAATGATCTCAAAATGGAATTAATTTGTTCCATGGTGAGCATGAGTCATCATCTAGTGAAGTGGGCACTGTGAATTCCAGAGGCAGCACGGCGAGAACAAAATTTATGAAAGTAGAAAGCCAAGCTTGGAAGGAAGCCTGCTTTAGAATAAGCTGAATGATCTAAGGTACGTGGTGTACCTTTCTACACCGAAAAGCTCTCCGGTTTTGTTGTGTAGATGGGTTTAAAAGGCCGTTTCTAACTTTTGGCACTACAGCCTCTCTTTTGTAGGGATTTTGCACATTTGCCTGTCTGGGACTAAATGTCTGATTTGCCGCCCAGTCTTAACCAGACATAATTGGTATTGAATGATTGATTTGACAAATGTTTATGGAATGTCTACTATTGATGGATGCTGGTGTAGCTACAGAGATGAATAAGGTATGATTCCCATTCTCAGACTGGTAGGAGAGAGAAAAATACCATAAACACCATGATGATGTAGTCCTGCAGAAATGTAGAAGGGAGAAGTAACTACCTGGGTGGCCAGGGAAAAACACATTTGAGGCTTGACGTCTGAAAAGTTGTAATATATTGTATGTTGTATCGGAATGGCCTCCAATGCAATTAGTGAATATTTGGATTGAAATCAAAGCCTGGAAAATAGATGGCAAACAGAAACTGCTTTTCACTAATATGACTGCATTTTTAGGGGGTTGATATTCTTACCATGAAAGAAATGTATTGTTGAGTACCTTCCTGAGTGTGGATAGGCTAAGATGGGTGAAGTGGTGTCTGGGTATCGAGGTGGAGAGCTTTTATTGTTCTGCATAGTAGAGGTAGAAGATTGGGGGAAGGAAGAATTAATGGGGAAGAGTGATGACAGGGCCAAGAGGAAGTGAGAAGCCAGTTAGATCGTGGAGAGTGCGTCTCTAAATGGCCTAAAGTGGAAAAGAGTCCCTAGAGGTGAAGTGGCCTAATGACGTTAAGGACGTGGTTGTCCAGTGTTTTACCTGAAGTTGCCTGCATTGCTGAGATGCACAAGCTGAGTCTTTCTAAAGCTTCCTTCAACCCAGCATAAGCACTCAAATGCTTCGTATGGGTGGTGATTTTGTTGAAAATGAGCTAAGAGCTGCATTCCGTGGCTGGTTCTTTGTGGAGAGAGAGATAGAGAGAGAGAGAGCACATGAGCAAGAGGTCAAGAAATTCCAAAGTGGAATAACTCACAGATGAAGAGCTCTCAGACCAGAGGTGTATCTGAGAATATGAGCTCCTTTGAAATCTGCTAAAACTTTGGCAAAAGCATTGAACTTTAACCAGGAATGAGGGTTCATGGCAATTTTCTCTGAAGATTGGAGGGGAAGTGGTGGTGATCACAGCCAATATCCAGCTTTCAACTAGATATACAGAATTTGCTGGAAAGTACCACCTTATCTATGCTGCTGTCTTGTGTAGTAATAATTACTTAGTGATATTGTATAGGATAGAATAAAAGCCTTGATACAAAACTTGGATTCTCTGAAGCTGAGATACCAAATTAATCTGGAACCCATGAACTTTTCCTATCATTTTTCACTTTATTCTGCTCATACACATTTTGGAATGAGTGAGGTGTAAATAAATGAATGAACAAATAAGAACAATTACAAATTAGCTTCTTTTGAGACATTGACTTGGGCAGCGTTGGTTAATTTTGTGGGTTATGATGTGAATTCCTCTGATTCTTGGCCAAACACACTGATTTTGTCACACATGATTTATTGCAGCTTTTGGATTAGTAAATATCTTTCACATTGGAAATTGCTGTGTTTGGCCATGTGCTGCTTAAGTATAAATTAGGAATTTGTTTCTATCAACTCGATCAAGTGTTGGAAGAAGTCCCATAATTTGTCTTCTGAAAAGCAACACAAAACGTTTTTCTCTAGAGATGTAACATAAATCATTCACCAGAATGTTTATTGAGGGCCTGCCGTATGCATAGACCTGTTCTAGGGGCTGAAGGAAAAACAGAGGTCCTGATTCTGTTCATGAGGTGGCAACCTGGAAACATACCTAGTAAAAGGATAATCAGCAACATGATGAATTTAAAAAGTAAAATGAATGGTAGTGTTGCATACTCGCTGGTATCAAGGGAGACTAGCAAAATGGTGGCTTGGTGTCAGAGATATCTCTTAGGAGACTTGTTATGAGCTGCACTGTGAGAATATTTTTTATTTTTTAGGAGCTTTATTGAGTTAGACTTGGAATAAAAAACTATACATATTTAAATTGTAAGATTTGATCTATTTTGGCATACACCTATGAAACCATCATCAAGTCAAGATAATGAGCATATTCATCACCCTCCAGTTTCACCACACTCTTCCGTGGTTCCTCCCTCTCATGTCTTTCCACCTCCAGGTGGTCACTGGTCTGCGTCTGCCCCTGGAGTTTGCTTCTGCTAGAAATTTTTACCTGGCTTCTTTCACACAGTACAATTATTTTTGAAATCCCTCCAAGTTGTTGCATGTATCACTAGTTCACTCTTTTGTTTATTGTTGAGTAATAACCCATTATATGGATATAGCACAGTGTGTTTAGTCTTCTGTCTGTTGATAGACATTTGGATTGTTTCCAGGTTTTGGTTGTTACAGATAAAGATGCTAGGAACATTCATGTATGAGTCTTTGATGGGCATATATTTCTCTCAGGTAACCACCTAGCAGTTAATGGTTGGGTCATAGGATCAGTGTGTGCTTAAGAAACCTTCAAACTATGTTCCAAATTTTCCCGTTTCTAAAATGGTGGTATTATTTTATTTTACATCACCACCAGCACTGTATGACAATTCCACTTGTTCCATATTCACACCAAACTTGGTATGGGTGGGTCTTTTTAATTTTAGCTGTTCTGATAGATGTGCAGTGGTATGTCATTATGGTTTTGATTTGCTAATGACTAACGATATTGAGCACTTTCTGTCTTTATTTACAGTCTGTCTTTGGTGAAATGTCTGGTTAAATATTTTGTCCACTTTTCATCAGGTTGTTTGTTTTATTGTTGAGTTCTGAGAGTTCTTTATATATTCTTGACTCAAGTCCTTCATCAGATACATTTCCTCCCATTCGTGGCTTATCTTTTCATTCTTTTAATAGCATCTTTTGAAGAACAAAAGTTTTTAAATTTTGATGAAGTCTGACTTATGAAGTTTTTAATCTTATTGATCATGCTTGTGGTTGCAGATCCAAAAAAATCTTTGGCTAACCCAAAGTCACCGAGACTTTTTCCTATTTTTTTTTTTTTTAGGATTTTTATAGTTTTTGGTTTATGATCCATTTTGAGTTGTGAACTAAATTTTAAAGAGGAGGCCGCCGTGGCCGCCATGCAGCTGACAGTGAAAGTGCTTCAGGGCCGCGAGTGCAGCCTGCAGGTGTCGGAGGACGAGCCGGTGTCCACGCTGAAACATCTGGTTTCTGAGAAGCTCAACATCCCCGTGCGCCAGCAGCGGCTGCTGTTCAAGGGCAAGGCCCTGGCAGATGGGAAAAGACTCTCCGATTACAGCGTTGGGCCCAATTCCAAGCTCAACCTAGTGGTCAAACCTCTGGAGAAGGTGTTACTGGAAGAAAGCACCGCCCGGAGACTGGCCGAGGTCCCACCACCATCCACACCAGCCTGGCAGCTGATCTCCAAAGTCCTGGCCCACCACTTCAGTGCTGCAGATGCCAGCAGAGTCCTGGATCAACTACAGAGGGATTATGAGAGGTCCCTGAACCGCCTGACGCTGGATGACATCAAACGCTTGGCTAACCGCTTTCTGCACCCCGAAGTGACTGAAGCTATGGAGAAGGGGTTCTCCAAATAGGATTCTCAGAGTGTGGGGAGGAGCCCGACCAGGCTACAAGCTGCATGTAGCATTAAATGTGTTCTCCTGTTGCAAAAAAAAAATAAAAAAATGAAAAAAATAAATAAATTTTAGAGAGGAAGGAGGAAGATAATAAAATATGTGAGAGCAAAGAAATCGAGGCTGGTGGTTCCAAGGTGTGTTGGGGACAGTAAGGTGACTGGCACGGGTGGAAATCAGACACTATGTTTAATCTGTACTGCAGTCATATGGCTTCCTTTTAGTCCTATGAGCATGCCAAGCTCCTTCTGTCTCAAGGCCATGCACATAACATTCTCTGGGCCTAGAATGTGCTTCCTTTTAGATCATTGGCACTGAGCCCAGTCAACCCCAATGTATCCTTTGGCTCACAACTCAAGGATCCCTTACTCAAGCCTTGTCTGACTGTCCCAACCAGGGCTGCCATGTTGCACAACTCCATTTTATGTGGACGGTGCCACCAGAGTGGTGCACAGTCATGATGTTCTTTTCAACTAGCTCAAAAACCTTGTTGTACACTTGTATGATGAACACAACTTTTTCTTTACGGTGCTAATTTCAATTTGTATAGTTGTGTCAGTATTTGATTAAAATCTTTTCTCCCAGTAGACCATAAGCTTCTTGAAGGTAAGGTCCTTGTCTTCTGTCTTTATTAATGAATCTCCACTGACTTGCACAGTGCCTGGTACATACTAGATGCCTCATAAATATTCCTTCACGGAAGTAATGACATAGGACATATTAGGACAAGTAGGACATCGATTCCATCTCAGGCCTTTTGGCTTCCTCAGTCTGCATTCTTCCCTTACTACCTAAAAGGTGTCTCTGCTCAAAATATTCTGGAGGCTGCTAAGAACACATTTTGTGTGTATCCTGGTAGAATACTGGGAGGCTCTCTTTACTTCCCTTTGTGAGCTTCGGTGGGCTGCTCCATACCAATTGGTGTGACTTCTCTACTAGGTTGGGAGGGAGGGCTGCCCACTGAGGGAGCTACAAATTCATCTGTAAAATGAAGATGCTAATAATATAGGGTTAAAATGAGAGTGCCAGTGAAACTGCCTGGCACATAGTGTCTGATTAATGTTGTTTCTTCTGGACTAAAATAACTGCAGCCTACAGTCATATTAAAAAGTTTGACAATACCAAATATATGGGAGAATGTGGGTCAATAAGGTCTCCTATATACTGGTGGGAGGGTAATTTGGTATAATACCTTGGCAAAACTAATTTTTCATTGTCTTATAAAATGGAAACTTCATGTACTCTGATCCAGAAAGCCTAGTCCTATGTATATACCCAAATGCAACCACCTCAGTGTTCATGCCCACTCTGACATACATACAAGGGCATTCCTCTATGTCCTATTTGTAAGAACAATAACAGAAAGGGAATGATAATGGACATTCTCATCTTCCGCCTTATTCCTGACTTGGAGGATGTTTCTTCATTAAGCAGAAGGCTTAATTGAGACATATTTATTTGATTGTGTTAAGGGAATATCCATCTCTTTCTGTTTGATTAAGAATCTTGCCTAAGAATGTATGTTAAATTTATCAAATACATTACTGGCATCACTCACGTAAATAATATAATTTTTATTCTTAGAATATGATATGGTGAAACATGTCAATTTCTTCTCTGTTGATACATTTTGAATTTATGGAATAAACTCCACAAGGTCAGATGTGTTACATGATTATAAGCAGATATTATTTGCTAATATTTCATGAATTTTTAATTAGTATTCATACATCAGTTTGATCGGTACTTGCCTTTTCCTTTTAAATCTTTGCTGGATTTTGGCATCCATATTACCACATTAAAAAGTATTTAGAAGTTTTCCTGGGGCACCTGGGTGGCTCATTTGGTTAAGTTCTACCTTCGGCTCAGGTCATGATGTCAGGGTCCTGGGATCGAGCTCCAGGTCGGGCTCCCTGCTCAGCAGGATGTCTGCTTCTCCTCCCTCTGCTCCTCCCCCCTGCTTGTGCTCTCGCTTGCTCACTCACTCTCCCTCAAATAAATAAATAAAATCTTTAAAAAAGTAGAAGTTTTCCTGCCTTTCTCATGCTTTAAAACAGTTCAAATAATGTTGGATATATGTGTTATTTAAAGAATTCTTAGAATTCCCCTGTGAAGCCATCTGAGTCTATTACTTTTTTAGTGGGAAGTTGGTGAGAGTGCTATTTGACAGTTTTCTTATTTCTTCTATAGAAACTGATCTGTTAAGACTTACTGTCTTGCTTAGAGCTGGTTTAGGTAAATGTACTTTGCTAGAGAATTATGCATTTTATCTAACTTTTCAAATTTCACCGTGCAAATTTATTTGCACATAGTTGGTCAAAAAAATGTATGCAATTATTATAACTTTCTGTAGTTATAGCTCTTATTCTTTTAAAAAAGTTTTATGTGTTTGTGGTTTCTTCCACTTTTCCTGTAGTCTTTTGCTAGGTAACAAACCACTTCAAATCCCAGTGGCTTAAAACAACAGCGTTTATTTTTTGCTTATGGATCTACAGGTTAGCTGCAGCTCAGCTAAGCTAGGCTGGACCTTAGTCTCCAGGCTCCAGGCTCCAGGCTCCAGTTTTCGTTCAATTCCGTTCCATGTGTCTCTCATCCTCTTTGGTCCAGTGGTTTCCTGGGATCATGCTGCACAAGATCAATGGGCCCATGGAAACACATGATGCCTCTTGAGTCATTCAGTGAAGGACTTGTATGCTGTCTTTTAAACCTATGTTTCATCAACCAGCACAAGTCATATGGCCAAACCCAGCATCAGTGATGTGGAAAAACATGCTCTGCCTACTAGAGTTGATGTTACTATAAAGTCACATGGCAAAGTAAGTGGCTATATAATTCTATTACTGAGGGGGCATAAGAATGGAGGACAACAATTTATTCTACCACAGTCCACTCTTTTATCTATTTTTTAAATATCCCTCTTCAATGCAAAATATACTTACTCTTACATAAGGCATGCCAAAGTCTCATCCAGTCATGACATCTGGGATTTCATTTATATTCATTTTGCATTTGGTTCCCCTTGACTGAGAGAACTGTGAATTTAAAGACAATTATTTTTCCTTATTCACCCGCCATGCAGTGATGGAACAGAGACAGGTTAACTTCTACAAGCACATGTGTTCAGAATGGGGATGAAGAGGAGGTTCATAGCAATACTCAAATCCTATGGGCAATATTGCCTGGTTCCTTTATCCTGGGAGTAGAGCATTTGTATTTATTAGCCTGCACTTTACTCCCTGGAAATAGATCCCCATTTTATTGTTCTCTATGGCTCTTGACTCTACTCTCTGGAAGGTTCTTTCTTGATCATCAAATTTCTTAGCCACCTCTGAAGCAGGCATTGAAGAATATGTTATCTCAGTCTGCTTCCTGCCAGTGGAACGTTGGAGAAAACAAAGTCTTATATCTTATACGGTTATAGTCTTAATCCTGGCTGGCAGCACTTTTGGCAATTCATTAACTTCTAAAAAGGACACAGAATACAGAAACATACACTTATCACAATGTAATAATGCTAGTACATAATTAAAATAAAGACTGAAATGAAAAGGCCTCTATAAGCTGGAAATTTAAAAATTCCCTCTTAAAGAACTTCTAGCACAAAGATTTGAAATCAATACCAAATTTTAGAATATCTAGAAAAAATGATAAGGTATTATTTGTCAGAACCCAGGGATTCCATTAAAGGAGACTCAGTAGATCCTTTCATCTGCATAAAATGGTTCCCATAGTCTATGGATACGGTCTTTGCTTTTCCCAGTGTGCATATAATTAATTCTGGGGAGAGAAGCATATCTGAAAAAGAAGTATAAGTCTGGCTGTCAACATAACAGGGATCAAATATTTAGAAAACTCATGAAGTTTTTGAGAGACATGGATTATAGTTAATGTTCTATGAATATTCGTTCTATGTTTTTTGGTGCATAAATATTAAAAATGCTGTGTCTTCTGTTCCGATTGCCTGTCTTATTCTCAGTGGGTGCTTATTGCCCCCAGGTTCTATCTTGTTTTCAACCTAGTAAACATTGAAATGGTGACCTGCTCCTCTTCTTCTTTTATTTTCATGGTCCTTTATGTATCCTTGAACACATATTCCTACTCGCCTCTGCCTTTGGCTGCTTTCCATCTATTTGGTGGTGTAAAGTTTTCTCTGGCTGGTTTCACTACAAATGGAGTCTGCATTTTTTCTTTCTTATTCTTTCTGTGGCTTTCCAGTGATTCCCCGGAAGAGAAGAAGACATTCTGACTTCAAACCACCATCTTTAAACTGGAAGTTCAACTTTGGAATTGTAAAGACAGGTGGGCTTTATGACAACCTTTTGCAATGTGTTGATGCTAGTTTTGATTAAGACCATTTTCAAGGGCAGCGTAATGACCAGTATTGTGATCTTATTGAGAAAAAGAAGGGCATCAAAATAACCATTTCTGGATGTGTTTTCCAAAAAACTACCAGATAATCTCAAAATTGCATATGGAATAGCCCCAAAAAAGTTTTTCTGACATCCTTAACAGTGCTTCAAATGTTCATTCCTTCTGTGATTTTTAAAATGCATTATATAAAAGGAAAATAATATAAATAATACGTGAAAGAATTTCATGCTATTGAAGTAAACTGAAACCAATTTAATGGGAGTGGGTCTTGGTTTGCCTTGTTTAATCAACCTTAGATAGAACTTCAAAGTTTTATACCATGAATGTTAATTTACACTATGAATGCTAGTTGATTAAGTGAGAAGTTTGTGGTAATTTTTTATAGAAATTTAGGTATTAAATTATCATCAAGAATTACTTCTTGATTAAACTGTTGTTATTGAGGAGGAAATAAGATTGGACCTGAGTCATTTTGAATCTAGGAATGTAACTCTGTATAAACATAAGCACTTCCTTTAATTGATGCTGTTTTTTTAAAATACCACTTTTTGTACTGGACAAAGAACAATATTGAAAAAATACTTATTTTATTTTTATTTTTAGAAACATTTATTTGAGAGAGAGAGAGACAGAGAGAGTGAGCAGGAGGAGGGGCCAAGGGAGAGGGAAACAACCAGACTCTCCACTAAGCAGGGAGC